AATTTGCACATCTCCTAGCAACAGGACTTTGAACAAACTGAATATATGTACTTATAAAGGTGTCACTAAAAACTCTGACTGCTGGCTGTGAAACAATGTTTTACACAATGTGTGTGCACAAGCATCTGAATGCAACGTTAACAGATCTCTGTAATGAAAGCATAAGTCCAGACATCACTGTGGAAGTTCAAACAAACAGCTACAGAACGACTTCTTCGTCAGATTGACGTTTTTGCCTGAGAGTGTGTCAGTGGCAAAATGTCTCACAAACTGCTAAATGGATGTTAATAAAACCTTCAGAGTAATCGATGGCTGTACTTCTACAACTGATTATATTCAAAATGGCTGCTGCAACTAAACCTACAACACAAAAATGTCTCTAGCTCACGCAGTTTTACAGATGTTGAGCTCAAACTTGGTGTTGGAAACTAAAAGTCCTCCTTCACACATACTCTGATTAATAATTGATCACACAAGATCTGTTTCAAAATTAACTTTAGCCAACACAAAGAGGAAATTCAACAGCATTGTTGGTAATATAATACAAGTGGTACACCGGTGTCCACCCCCCGTCTCTGAGGGATTTGAGTAGTGGATGTTTGAGGAGTATTTTTCTGGACTAGAATTGAACAGAGGATGGAATTAAACCTAAATGTTTTTGATGTACGATATTCAAGTGGGTATGAGTTACACAGTGGAGAAGAACAGAGGTATTGTGTTCTTTTGTCCGAGGCAGTGCAGAGTGACCGTTCCTGACACTTGGAGGTAGAAACTCTGTCCACCACCAGGTGCAATGGAGGAGCCAGGGTGTGGTCCAGCTCCAGGATTTGAGCTGGATCCTGCCGGAACAAGATCTGGGAACTCTCTCATTTTGACCCGTTCTGTTCCGGCAACACTTTGTTTGAATCCGGCAGCTCCGTCCCAAAAAGTTCAAAGTCATCGCGCATTTTTATTTTGATTATTTATTAAAAATACAACGAGAGGAGACGTTGCCTTTAGCCTGGCGGACCCAGTCTGTGGATATTCCAGCCGCAGCACGCGCGGCGCACCAGCAGGAGAGGAGCCTGTAGGCGGGGGTGGTGAGGACGGATCAGATAGTCACATTTACGCACAGAGGTGTTGCGCGGAGTCCTTGTCTCCTCCTCCTCTCCAAAATATTGTCCCTACTCAGCGGGGCCGCGCTCTGAAGAACACCCTCTCCTCCTCCTCTCAGACCCCCGAAACAGAAACGATCATTTATTCAACAGAATAAATGAATTCCCTGTGGACAGTGCACGTTACTCACAGAAACATCTCCAATCTCTACCCAGCGCACACGCACATCAGCAGGTGTCTGAACTCCTGCTACATTTCAGACATAATGAATAAAAAAAGCTTACTGTAAAAAATAAATTAAAAATACAAAGAGAGAAATGTTTGATGTGTTATTCACATTATATGTCACGTTTCCATACAACGACGCTAATTTGTCCAAATAACAACAGCGATCAAAATGTCAAAGAGACAGTCCAGTTTACTTTAATAAAAAATGGATGGATGCATGGATGGATGCATGGATGGATGGATGGATGCATGGATGGATGGATGGATGGATTTTTCTTAGTTGGACAACAGAGAACTGAATCCTTCAGGTGCTTCAAACGGTGCCATGAGACTGGAGCAGAGAAGAGTTCAGCTCAGAACGTGAAGTGGGGGGAGGGAGGAGGGGGTTTAGGACACCTGACAGTCGGAGCAGCTCACACACAACCTGCTGTTCTTCTCCAAAATAGTAATCTTATTAAGTGTTTACAAATGTAAGTAAATGTTGATGTACAACAACCCATTAAAATACACCAAAATGCAGGAATTGGCATCTCTGTTATTCAAAATTTTCGGTAAGAGGACCCACGCCCCCCCCCCCTCCCCCCCAATCGGTCTGCTCGCTGTTCCGGCATCAGTCAGTTTACAAATTAAGCCCTGGTGTGATCAATGATAACACATTTATTTGAGGACACTATAATTTCAAGCAATATAAAACTAGAAAGCACATGTCCTGATGCAGGCACAATAATCCAGCTAGTTACATCAAACAAGGTTTGAGGTCAGGTCCTCTGGATGGATTCTTCTTTGTTGAAACGTTTAGTCTTTTATCCAAAAGACTTCTTCAGTCTGAGGAGCTGCAACAAACTCAGAACCTGGCCATTGTTAAACAGAGGTGGAGCCTCCGTGTCCAGCTGTCCCCCTCTTACAATGCTGTTATTGTTAGTATCACTCAACCCTCTGTGAATAGTAAACAGCCATCACTAACGATCGGTCGCTAAGCTGATGGTCCTCCTTTTGGCCAATGGCAGGATGGACCAGCACAGAAGATCAACATCATCAGGCCAGGACTCTGAGGTCTACACTCATCTCCAGACCAGCGGTCACTCTTTCAGGGATGAAGATGTTCACATCCTGGACAGAGAGGAACGATGGTTTGAGAGAGGAGTAAAGGAGGCCATCTTTGTGAAAAGAAACCGTCCATCATTAAACAGGGGCGGAGCCTCCGGGTTCAACTGTCCCCCTCTTACAATGCTGTGATTGCTAGTATCACTCAGCCCTCTGTGAACAGTAAACAGCCATCAGTGTGCTAATGATTCATTGTAATGCTGATGGTCCTTCTTGAGCATGTGATCAGCTGGTTCTGGTTGTCAGCAGCAAAACTGGTTGATCCACTCTGAGAAGGTGCTATTTAAGAGACTGAGCTGAATACAGCACCTCAGACTGAGGAAGTCTCTCGGATGAAAGATGAAACGTTTCTACATTTTTTTTTTTGTTTTACTTTGTTTTGTTGTTTGAATGTCCAGAAGACCAGATTTAACTTTTTTCGATTTTTCTACCTGGATTATTGAGCATGCATCAGGAAATAATGGTTATACCTCTTAGTTTTACAGTGAACCCTCATTTTTCACTGGGGTTACGTTCCAAATAGAGCCCGTGATAGGTGAAATCTGTGAAGTAGTAACCTTAATTTTTTTTACAATTATTATACAATGAAATACTCCATAATACATTCAAACCAAAGAACAAAACCTTTTTACAGGCCCAAGCATTTGTTTAACAAATAAAGTACTGTATAAACGTTTTTTACAAATAACTACTGTACTGGAGAGACTGTTAACCAATCAGAATGCAGAACACAATGCATGATGCAAATCTGTGAAGCAGCGAGACCGTGAAAGGTGAACCGTGTGATAGCGAGGGTTCACTGTACTGACACTGAGCTAAATCTTGGTGGGGTGTAGCTGAAACTAAGTCTTAACACATATGTTGAAGCTCAAATACTTTGCAAGATCTTACTACATGAGATTATGTGTAACAACATTTCCAAGGTTTGACCTAAATGCCCACAACTCAACATTTTCATCATACAGTAATCTTCATTTGAAACTCTGGTATGAAGCAGTGGCTCACATTCCTTCCAGAAATGGTAGTCCTTCACGTAGACACTTTTAGAGCATGCAGCTAAATTAATAATGTGATGTTTCCATTTGCACATTGCTGACAGTGTGGATGTGTTATGGTTAGACAAAAAAAACATGTTTCAGAAGGTGTGAATGGAAGCAGAAGGCTTTGGGATCAGAGTATTTCTGCACTCAGTCAGTGTGTGTGATGACGGTTTAGCAGGCAGCATTTTTGGATCATTCCCTGCTGTTAACACGTTATTTATGTTGTGAACTCCTGTTCCAGGAAGAAATCTGTTCAAAATGAGCTCAGACACATCTTTAAAGGAGACCTGACCTGAATGAAGTCAGTGTTCTGTTGCAAGATGTTTCTCATCCTATGTTCTTGTAACAACTTGGTGATAAAGTCACATTTCTACACTTCAGCCTGTAAAATAAATGTATGCTCTTTAATCAAATGTTCTGTGGGACACCTGAACAGCTGTATGTTCACTCAGGACAAAAGGTTCAGTTCTGAACAACAAAGCACATTTAGATTAATGCACTTTTATAGTAGTCACTTCCACAAACGGTGCAGAGTGATTGTTGAAACACTTGGAGTGATTGAGCTGCAAAGTTTATCTTCTGAGGAAGTGATGGGAGTTGAGAGCAAGTTGCAGCAGCCAGCTCAGAGCACATCATGACTCCATCATCACACACCAGCTCTACAAACATCTCTGTCACGTGCTGTCATACACAGGCTGCTGTTGAAAGTTATCGCTCTCGTGCAGAAGTTTACATCAGTGTTTTCAACGGGTTAGAAGGAAACAAATGCTGAACGTTCATTTAATGAGGGGAAACCTAGATCTGGGGATGGATGGAAATGGACTGTTCACATATGTTGAAGGAACGAAGGGAGGGAAGAAGAAAATATTAAATAGAAGGAAAGCGAGAGATAAGCAGGGCAGGCTTCATTCCTTCTTTCATTTCTTTCTTTGTTCTCTACCTTTCTTACCTTTCTCTCTTTTCGTCTTTCTTTTGTTCATTCTTTCATCCATCCTTCCTTCCTTCCTTGTTCAGTGCTTCAGATAACCGAGTGGGGGTGTTGAGGGGTGTCCTGTAGGTTTGTCCGTCAGCCTCCGTCCTCATCATGTGCAGCAGCAGATCAGCTCGTCTCTTTGTTCGGCCTCTGACTCATCATGCTGATCTCAGCTGCAGGCGCGATACTAGAAAGCATCCGACACTCGGGTTGGAACATCTTTGCTTGTGTTCGTGTCGACGTGGCTCTAAGAGAAGCTGTGACCTTGGTGATCTCGACAGGCTCTGCTGAGCTCCTCCTGTGTGGGTTAAGTGTTGTCAGCTCACTGGGAGCATACGCACAGTTCAAACAAATCATTGTGTGTTTCTCTGCACTGGAGCCAAGCGGGCCCCATCAGGAGCCAGCAGCCACACGAGTGGAACTGAACTGAAGTCAAACAGTTTCCTGATTGGCTGCATCTAAATATTATGGATGGGTGTGTTGGTTTTAAAGGCATTTATTCTTGTCTTCAGTTTCATTTCTTCTGTCAGTCGTAACTTTTCTTATTTTTCTGTTTCCAGATGTGTTGGTAGATGGGAAACCATGTGACAGTGATGTCCTAGCTGACTGTAAAGTGGGTGACGCTGTGACACTGGAGATCAAACTGACCAACCTGAGCAAGAATGCAGTGGGCCCACTGGCTCTCACGGTGATGCCATATCAGGACTACCAGAACGGAGTCCAGAACTACGACCTGGAGGAAGCAGTCACCTTCGTTGGCTCTAACACCTTCTTCATCGAAATGGTCAGTTGAAGCTGAAACATAGATCTTAGTCTCTAGAAAACAGACCTGAGAAATGTCCCCACATTATGCATCCAAAGGGTTTGGTGTCACAGACATTTTAACAAGTCACAGAAATATACTAACATGCTTGAATACAGGTACATTGCTAGGGTCCTGGAGGGGTCAGGAGTTTCCCCATCCAGTCCACATGTGTTTTGTGGACTTGAACAAGGCATTAGACCATGTTCCTCGGGGTACACTGTGTGAGTGCTCCATGAGTATGGGATTGGGGGCCCGTTGTTACAGGCTGTTCAGTTCATATACAAACAGTGTGAGAATTTGGTTCACTTTGCTGTCAGTAAGTCAGACCCCTTCAGGGTGGGAGTTGGACTCCTCCAGGGCTGCCCATTCGTTGTCACTGATTCTGTTCATAACTTTTATGGACAGAGTTTCTCGGTGCAGCCAGCGAGCGAAGAGATTTGGATTCGGTGGCCACAGGATTCCATCTCTGCTCTTTGCAGATGATGTGGTTCTGTTGGCATCATCATGCCGTGATCATCAGCTCTCACTGGAGCATTTCGCAGCCGAGTGTGAAGTGGCTGGGATGAGAATCAGCACCTTCAAATCTGAGGCCATGGTCCTCAAATGCAAAAGAGTGGATTGTTCTTTTTGGGTCGAGGGTGAGGTTCTGCCTCAATTGGAGGAGTTCAAGTATCTCGGAGTTTTGTTCACAAGTGAGGGAAGAATGGAGCGTGATATTGACAGATGGATTGGTGCAGCATCTTCAGTATTGAGGACTCTGTGCCGGTCTGTTGTGGTGAGAGAGCTGAGCTGTAAGGCAAAGCTCTCTGTTTACCAGTCGGTCTAAGTTTCTACCCTCAGCTCTGGTCATGAACTGTTGGTAGTGACAGAAAGAATGAGATCACCGATACAGGAGGTTGAAATGAGTTTCCTCCACAGGGTAGCTGGACTCTCCCTTAGAGACAGGGTGAGAAGTTCAGTTATCAGGAGAGACTCATAGAGTAGAACCACTGCTCCTCCACATAGAAAGGAGCCAGTTGAAGTAGTTCGGGCATCTGGTAAGGATGCTTCCTGGGCACCTCCCTTGGGAGGTGCTTCGGGCATGTCCGACTAGGAGGAGACCCCGGAGAAGACTCAGGTCACGCTGGAGAGGCTACATCTCTCGGCTAGCCAGGGAACACCTTGGAGTCCTCCCAGAACAGCTGGAAGAGGCGGCTGTGGCTGAGTGGTTAGAGCAGTTGTCCTCTAATGCGAGAGTTGGGAGTTCAAATCCACCAGCAGTCACATGCCTAAGTGTCCCTGGGCAAGACTGAACCTGCATTGCCTCTGATGTCTGTCCCATCAGTGTATGAATGTGATCTAAAAAAAACACCGATTAGTCTCTTTAGAATGATTTGTTCAATTAGCTTTGTAGAGATCTAGTAGAGTGCTGTATGGATGGATAAATGAGACACCGATTATAGTGTAAAGCACTTTAAGTATCTTGATTAGATAGAAGGGTGCTATATAAGTACAGTCCATTTACCATTTAGATGTCTGGACCTCCCTGCTCAAGCTGCTGCCCCTGAGACCTGACTTTGGATCAAATGGAAGATGATGGATGGACGAATGGACGGACCGACCAATGTTTAGTTTATGCCTCAGTGGAGGTGACAGAAGTTTTAACATTGTGTTAACAACCCAACAAAGTTCAGTCAGGTCATCTGGACGGTTTCTTTTTCTTTCTTGAAACATTTTGTCCTTCATCCAAAGGACTTCATCAGTCCAAGCAGCCACAACAAACTCAGTCCCATAAGTGTCTTACTCACATAGTGGGCCAACCAGTTTTATGGTGATAAGATGGTTTCTGGGGCCTGCCCCATCGACTCCTCTGAGGCATCCATAGCCAAAGTGGTTCAAAACATCAATGTTCATGATGAAGGACAAAACATTTCAACAACAAGAAAAAAAAATATCCAGAGGATCTGACTTAACTTTGTTGGATTTTCTACCTGGATTATTGAGCATGAACTTTGATGTTTTGAACCGCTTTGGCTATGGCTGCCTCAGAGGATTCAATGGTGGAGAGGGCAGTCTCCAGAAACCATCTTATCACCATAAAACTGCTTGGTCCACTATGTGAGTGTGCTGCTTGTGGGACTGAGTTTGTTGCGACTGCTTGGACTGATTAAGTCCTTTGGATGAAGGATGAAACATTTAAAAAAAAAAAAAATCATCCAGATGACCTGACTTAATTTTGTTGGATTTTTTTATCTGGATTATTGAGCATGAATATTGTGTTAAGTAAGACCTCCTTCCTACATTAACAAAATAATTGCTAAAAATGTCTTGACACATTTGGTACCCTTTAAAGCTGGCATGGCTTGTGTTTTTATTGTGTTTTATGTCCATTTTATTAAATAAATTTTAAAAAGCTGAGCATAGTGAAACATTTTAAAAGTCAACCCTCAAACACCTATAGTTCACTATAGAAAAAAACCCAGACTAAACTGGGAAAATACACATTTGCGAGCCTTGAACGGTGTCGATATTCTCAGATTAAAGTTGTAACAAAGAGGGGATCCTACAACTGAGCCTTTATATGTTTAAAAACTGCTTTTTGAGTGTTGAACAAGCCGCGGGCGATTAAAAATAGACAGCTGCTGCTAGAACAAAGAGCTTGGAGTATAATAAGCAGATGAAAGAGTGTAAATAAATCAGAAATGGTGAGAACAACTTTATTTCAGGGCTGTTCTCACCATTTTTTAATCAGAATCGACAGACCCACTCAGCTGTTGACCTCCCACTGCTAACATACTGTCTCCTGTCTCCAGGTTCAACCCAAAGAAAATTCTGTCTGCAAGGGAGCCCTTATTCTTCTCTACACGGGCGATTACTTCCTGAATATCAAGTTCCAAGATGACAGTACCCAACGAGAGCTTCCTTTAGCCTGGTTTACTCTGCCCAGTGTGCACATTAGAGCCCTGGATACCCCGCTGCAGGCTGGGGCCTAACGACGACAGGATTCATCAACGTTCTTTAAAAGAACTGAGTTATATGTAAATATGACTGAAGGGACCTGCTTCTGTGCAGCTGCAGTGCTTTTTGCCTGAACATCGTTGGATAAAATCAGAGTTATGAATTCACATTTGACAGAAAACCATTTCCCAGTCATTCGTCTGCCATTTTGAATGTGACAACGTAAGCTATCTAATTGTTAGTGACCTGAACTGGACTGACATGTTTCTTAAAGTTAACACAATGCCTTGCAGAAGTAGTCATCCTTCTCATTGTTCTTTCTATCTTTTTTACCTTACAACATGGAATTTATTTGCATTTTTAATTTGTTTAAAAACATCAATTTACCAAAAATATTTGAGACTTGTCTAATTAAAGGAGGAAGCCAATAAGGCAGAACTATTACCAAGAGGGGTGAATACTTTTGCAGCGCTCTGTATTTATCCAGCAGCTGGTTAGTTACCTGCTGGCAATAAAAGCAGCTTCTGTAGAAAATGATCACTTCCAGTTTAACTGCATCCAAATTACATGCTTTTTTTCTGCTCTACTTTCTAATGTAACCAGTTACAATTATTTGTATGTTTCACTTTGTTTTCATTCTTCAAAACTCTAAGACATCTAAATATTCAGTAACTTTTTGTTTTGAGCTCATCTCAGTCCCAGCTCACTGAAATGTTGATTCATTTCATCGTCTTTATCTGATCTGCATCTGATGTTGATGATTTCTGTGAATAAATGCTAAAACTTCAGTCAGTTTGTCCATTATTTAATCTGCACATATTTTGCTAATCAACATAAGATTTTGGTAACAAGCTTGCAGTAGGTTAGAAATTCACCTAGTGTGTCTTTACTGTGAAAAAAGAACTTGAAACTATGCTGCTTTCAAACTGAGGGATGAGTAACTTCAGAGATTTTCATTTGTGTTGCAAGTTTTTTTAATACAGCTTCAAAAAGTCAAGAAATGTATGTCACAAAAAACAAATTTTTATTCTATTTTATAAAATATATTTATTAAATATAAAGGTCAAGATTTAAAATCAGTTGATTTCATTTTTTTAAGCATTCATACACAATGGAAAAATCATCTTGGGGCACTTCTTTGAGAAATTAATCAAGTTCAAAACCCTTTTAAGACAATCTTCTCAGGAGTCCTAGTGAGGTCAGAATGCTTAGAAAATTTACAATAAAAATTAACCCAAGAGCTCTATCTTGTACAGGCCTCAGTCAGCAGGTTACACATGAGAACAGTCAGAAAAGGCTGAACATGTGTGGCTTGTTAAGAGACTGCAGGAGAAAACCTCTTCTGTCTAAAACCAACATGGCAGCACATCTCTGGAACAACGTTGTGGTGGTGTGTGGTTGGTGCACCGCTGTAGGGGAGAGAATAGGCAATGGCGTGAACAGTGCCAGAATAGAGCTGAAGATGATATTTAATCAGTTTCTTCCTCTTCATCTGCAGTAGCATCTGGGATGGAGAAAAGACTCATGAGAAGTGCTCTCAGCTCAAGTGTGGTCCTTCAAAAAGGAGAACAATAAAAATATTTAACTTTGGTAAACACTGGGGGCTTTGTGACTCTAGGCTGGGTGAGTTAGTAGTCTATGACCTGCTACTAATGTCCTTTGGACATGAGACCAAAATACAGATGTTTACCCAGAATGCATAGCAACATGTTTGGTGAAAACCACAGCTCAAACACCCCCTACCAGCTGTCAACATAGTGGAGGACTGATGGTTTGGGCTCTTTTCAGTTACTGAGTGAACCGTGAACTCGTGTAGACCAAATGGGAGGACATCTGTCCAGTAACTGAAGATTGGACTAAACAGGGTCACGATAAAATAAAACTATGATCCCAAAAGCAGCTAATTTATGGCAAAATGGGTCAAAAAGAACAGAATCAAAGTCCTGCAACAGTTGAGTTAAAGTCCAGAACCGCAACCTGACTGAAATGCTGTGGGACCTTCAGAGAGCTGACCAAAAACCTCATTCAGCTGAAGTACTGATGAAAAGGAAGAGTGGTCCAAAATGCATACACAATCATGTAACAGAATGACAGACAAAACAACCACTGTTAAAGGAAGTTTTACAAGCTCCTAGCTTTAGTTTAATTACATTTATTGAGTTACTTAAAAGGACAGTGCACATTAATATGGTACTTTAATCCCAATTCCAATAACATATCCAATGGAAGACAACACACCGGTAGACAGTCACATGTGTAGTATGACATATCCTGAGATATATTCATACATTAAACAAGTTCTTTCATTTTTCTGGACTGAATGATGTCGTGCATTGAATTTAACAAAAATGTGGACGTGAGACGTTATTTATCTTTGACCCATCAAAATGAATGTGGTCATTTATTTACAGAATCAAAGTTTAACATCAAACGTTTACATTAATTTGGCAGAATATGAAAATAACAACATAATCAATCAGCTTTACAACCAGGAAAACCATACGGCCATGATTTTCTGTTGCTTCACCACAGACATTTCTGAAAACATCTGGATTAATTTGCTAGCAGATAGGAGAGTTTGAAGATGGAAAGTGAAGTTTGTCTACAGAGAGATGTGTGAGGGAATTTGTCTGTTTTAACCAGAACATGCACGCTCCTTCGGAAATCAGCTTGTCCCAACAGTACACTTTTGGTGAAGGTCGACTTTTACCTTTTCTGAAGATAGATCAGTTCCGGCGTGAAGTCCCACTTCGAGCCACTGTTCAGCGTCTCCGTAAGAACAGCTAAAGACCTCGAGAGTCGTGTGAGGTTATCCAAACAGAAGTTATAATTCCCAAAATCGTCTCTGGTTCAGCTTGATTCTAATTCAGCAGCATCCTGAATGCCAGCGTTCTGCATTCTGGAACTCCCAAACTCTCTGCATTCTGAATTCCAAAAACTCTGCTTGAACTAGGAAGTGCCAACATTTTAAAGAGCTCTACTTCCGGTTCATTTGAGAGCTTTTTGATTGGTCGATGGACCAAAGCAGAGGTGTGGTTTGTGATGTAAGGTGTTATTAAAAGTCAAGGAAAAGATTCAGATTGTTTAAGAACAGACAGAAAGATATCATGGAAAAACCCAGACTTCGTGGAGCCTCTCACCAAGTATCTTGCTGTAAAAGTTAAACATGACATTTCTTTTCAGTAAACTTTCAGTTGACCGAAACTCGAACTTTGACACACTTACAAATTTGCTCACTTCAAAGCAGACGATCAAGAAATTGAATCATTACTCTGTAACGTACTCTAACTTGATTTCACTTTGAATTGAGGATAAAGAATCATTACTACTGTTTAAGTAAATAAAAATGATTAGTTCACTTCAACATGTAGACATTGTTTGAACCAAAACACTTTGATTATCAAAACATTTGTAAAATAGTAATGATCATAGAGAATTGTCTTTTTCCACTTGATTAATTCAAGAAAGAAAGTCTCAGGATGGATCAACCTGTATTTCTGGATGCAAATCAATGAAATGACAGTTTTTGACCATATGATCCTAAGGTCAAGATTTGACATCAGGTCAAGTTCACTACACATGCCAGGGAGACAGAAAAGTGGATGAAGATTTTGTCTGACGGACAGTTCACCCAGCCGGAGACTGAGATTCTTGCCAGGGGACTGAACTTTGCAGTTGTACCAAGAAGAATTCCTCTGGTGGAGATGATCACAGCCACAGAATCAGCCATCCGCAACAACAAAATTAAAGAGGGTGAAGCAGAACAACTCAAGATCAAAGTTTCAGCCTGCCTCAGCAATGCTGAACCACCACCTTCCAACATCAGTAGAGAGGAGAGGGATGCACTCACCACTCTCAACAAGGACCAGAACATCACCATCCTCCCAGCAGACAATGGAAGGTGCACAGTGATTTTGAACCAGAAAAAATATTATGAGAAAGTTATGACACTCCTTAGTGACTTAACCACGATCCTGAAAAGAGATTCAGGAATCAGAATCAGTTTTAGTGTCATTTTACCGAAGCACAATGAAATTACAGGAAGTGGTTAGAAGTTGAAGTTGAGGAGTGCTGAAACATTTGAAGCAAGACAAGGCTATTGACCGTATTCTGTACCACAGACTGTACCCAGGGGAGGCCACAGCTAGTCTGTATGGTTTACCTAAATTTCACAAACACCTTTAAGACCAATTGTTAGCATGATTAACTCGGTCACTTACAATGTTTCAAAATATCTGGTGTCTGTACTCATCCCTTTAGTTGGCAGTTCAGAACACCACATACAGAACACCATGGACTTTATGGATAAGGTGAGGAATGTCATCATGGAGACTGATGAAACAATGGTCTCTTTTGATGTCACATCACTCTTTACGTGCATTCCTGTTGATGATGCTGTAGAGGTGGTCAGTTTAAGATTAAAATCAGACACCACTCTGAGCAGCAGGACCACGCTTTCCACAGAACAACTGTCAACTCTTGAAACTGTGCCTGCAGTCAACCTACTTCACATATGGGGAGCAATATTATAGGCGGAAACATGGGTGTGCTATGGGGTCTCCAGTTTCTCCTATTGTGGCCAACCTGTACATGGAGGAGGTAGAAAAGAGAGCCTTGACGTCCTTTTCAGGGACACCACCAAGTCATTGGTTCAGGTATGTTGACGACACCTGGGTTAAAATTAAATCTCAGGAAGTCCAACATTTCACTGATCCATAGGCGTCGCAACCATTATTTGTGAAGGGGACATGTCCGCCCCCACATATTCAAAAAAAATTTCATTTGGACCCCACCACTTTTACTATGAAACATTAGTTCTGTCTGCACAGTTTCTCTTTCTTCGTGAACAAATCCATTCCACTTGATTAATAGGAAAATACTGAAGCCATTATAACTCCACTCCTGGTTTTCCTGGTTACCTCCAACTCTACACACAGCAGCCTGCACTGTTTCCTCCTCCCTCGGCAGAAAACACGCACAGGTGGAGGAGATGGAGACACCTCTGTGTTGCTCGCTCGCCAGTTTATCAAGTTGTAAAGACGCTCTTATCTGCTGTGCTGTATTGCTCGATGTATCACAACTGTATCTTGTCCTTTATCTGTATCTGCTTGGCTTTTGGATCTGCTTGCCTTTTGGTATCAACAAGTACAGAGTGAACTAAGTCAGAGAATGTATTTAAGTTTTTTGTGTACGGGACATGAACTAACGGGGAGCTGCTGGTGTGTGTGTCCCACCCGATGACAAGATTACCAAGTAAACTGGAACGGCAGAAAAAAATAATAAAACAACTCCATCAAAGGACTTCCAGGAAATGAAGACATCAGTTTGAACTAGTTTAGACAAAGATCTTATGAATGTGTGACACATCTCTGGGTGGAGCTTTTGTGTTTAAATACAGGAGATGCTGAAGCTCCAGTCAGACGTGTCTTGGGTTTTTGCTGTGTCTCTGTTGGTTTGAGGTAAGAGCATCTCCTTTCAGCTGAAAGCTTTAATAAATGTTGGTAATACTTTTTAACTTGAATCTCTCTGACTGATTATTGTGTCTTTATCTCTGAACCACTGAGAGGAATAGGTGAATAGGCTGAAAAGTCTGAGTTGTTGTGTTAATTTTCCTCGACAATTTTGGTGCCGAAACCCGGGATACTAGAGAAGGACGATTGGTAACCAGAGAAGTGGACATCAACATGGTTGTTCAGTGCAGTTCCACAGGCTAGCAAACAGGTAAGAGGAACTATATTTATCCTCTCTGTGGCATTGCACTGAGTGATCATGTTGTAAAATGTTTTTG